GGTTGAAACTGGGCCCATTTTCCATGGCGGGAGGGAAACTTTTTTTTTTTTTAAAATAACTGCAGGCCTACAAGAGAAAACAAGAACTTGTAGCAAGCTGAAAGGGAAGCTCAGATTATCTCGCAACTACGAGCTGAGAAATGGACCACGACGGGTATTTAGGGCCTCTCTTGTGCCTGAGACGGTTCCTTAGAAGCAGTCCTCGCGCTCTTTGTGCCGCTCCTCGCAGGGGCATCCTGGCAGGGTTTGCTGAGGCTGCTGGAAAGGGAGGGGTTCGGGAGAGCGAGGCACTCCCTTGGGAGCAGACCACCTCTGGTGTGGGGGACACAAGTCTTTTGCCCCCGCGCGAAAACTAAGAGTAGCGGCAAAGCTGTTTCTCCGCGCTCCCGTGCCTGCCAACCTATCTCGGAGCAGCTTCATGGAGCGAGACCTCTTTCCCCAGTCTGTGTCGCCCGAGAGGTGTGGACCAAGGCCTCTCCAGCAGCGTGGTGGACGGAGCAGTGCTTAATGTGTGGTTCCCCTCTTCTTTCTCCCTAGTTGGCCGGAGGAATCATCCTGGGAGTGGCCCTATGGCTCCGTCATGATTCACAGACTACGAATATCCTCTACCTGCAGCTGGGGGACAAGCAAGCCCCCAACACCTTCTACGTTGGTAAGTAGCCTCCAAGGAGAAGGGTGGGGGGAGCTGGCCCTGCTCTGTCGGTGGTTCACCCCTGGGTGATTTGTTGGGGTGGACCACGATGTGCCCAGAAGCACAACAGAAAGGATGATATTGTACAGAGAGGTTTGTAGTGGGGGAGGAACAGACTCAGCAAGATGCAGCATAAGGTAGAACTTAAAACATCTATTGCTTCCCCAGTGTTCCCCAAAACATCTACCACATGCAAATCAAAATGTTTGTTAGATGTCACCTGTGACATGTCCGAAACGTAGAGGCCAAAGTCCCAGGGGCTAAAAGTGCAAAAGACCTTTAGTTCTGGTCAGTGTTTCTGTGTAACAGATTTTCTTTGACGTTATTCTTGCTTATGGTCTCCTCTACAACGCGTTGGCTTCAGCAGAGGGTGCGTGATTGATCTGGAAAGATGGGGGATTTGGATGCATGTCTTGTTTCCTCGTCCCTCTCCCGAAGGGATATAAAAGTAGCTGAAGGAACAGTTGGCAATGGAAAGTACAACTCAGAGGAGCGTGACTCATGTTCTCCAGGAGGGGCCGGTGGAGCGTCTGTATGTATGTTTAAGCTTAGTATGATTTTATTTGATTTGACAGCAGGCTGACTGGCTGGAAGAAGAAAGCCCATATTTTGTCCTGCTGTCCAGCAGTCTAGCTTGCGAGCCGCTTCCAGGCGGTCTCCGGCCTCCGCTTTGGGGCCGATGCCGGCTGGCCAGGGTGCGAGCTGCCAGGCGCCGGGCGAGGACCGCTCGCTCGCTCCTGAATTCCTCAGATAAGAGGCAGGGGTGCGGAGAGCACCTGCACGGTGTACGCCTGGGCCTTGCAGAAGAAGGAGGGAGGTTCGAGAGTCTCGCCTGTCTCGTGTGGACCAAGCTCTCCTCTTGGCAATCCCGTTGGAGATTTACTGACTTCGAGCAAAAATTGACCCCAGCGTGCTGGGATGAGAGGAGCGTCCACCCCGCGCAACGACGCTCGCCGCAGCCCTGCCCTCCCGTTCCTAGAGGGCTAATTATCTCCTGAGAAAAGTCTTATCTGTTATTTTCATGTGCGATGCCTCTGTCTGATAGGACGTCATCTCTTCTGATTTTGTGCGAGGCAGGAAAGCCCCAAATCTCTCCCCTCTGTAAGGTACTGGGAGAGTGGGGGAATTGGTCAGATGGAAAGAAACCCCCTCTCGCCCCAAGGATGGGATAGTTGTAGGAAATGCGTGGAGCTGGACCAGTCTAATCCTATGTCCTGTTCTCATCTGTAGGAGAAAATTACCTTCCTTAAAGGATTTGTCTTCAGTTTCCTTTCCTCGCTTGCTAAATAACACGCTCAAGTCCTTTTTCCCCAGCTGCAAGCAGTTACAGTAGGTGCTCCTGCTGTCGCCAACGGCCGGCTTTCCACCGTTGTGCTCTGTCCCCCTCCTGCCTCACACAGAGTTGCATTTAGAGCATTTTGCCTTTGCATGTTTTCCATCTTAAAAAGAGAGAGGGAGAGAAAAAAGGGAGCTCTAAGAAATTAAATTCTCATCCCTTCCCAGGATCTGGCCCAAATGTCTCCTTTCTTTCTTGGGGCAAGCGGCTGATGTCTCTCTGGTTAACAAACTTCTTCCACAATCTGGGGGACCTGGAGGTGCGGTTGCCAAGTCCTCTTCTCCTGCATGTTGTGCGTCCTTTGCTTTTCGACCCCTTTTGGTTCTCCGCTGTTTTAAAGGCCAGTGGGGAGCAGACCACTGAAGCAGGAAGGGTGCCACCTTGCTGGGCTTTCCGATGCCCGTGAGCGGCCTGTGGTTGGAGGCTGGCTGTCTTTTTAAAGTTATATTGAGCAACAGAGCTGCCTGGATTCCTTCTGGTGGCTGTAATTTCCATTCAGTAATAATAGCAGAGCGTTTCTTTCAGCTGCCGTCTCTCCCGGCCAGGCCTCTTGAGTCTGAAGGCTGGGATTCCTGGGTTGGTTTTTTTTTTTTCCTTTTCTTTTTTCTTTTTCTTCTCCCCCCCCGCCCCTCGCAGCTGACGTTCCCATCGCGGCGGCGCACGCCCTGCTTTTCCTCCTCTGGCGTCCAACATCCACACGCACACAGCGTTCCCACTTCGCGAGCGGGAACCTCTCGCTCATGTGCTTGGGCTTGGCCTCCGGCGCTGTTTTTCCTTGCAAACCGCTTTTTGGTGTCTGGCGCGGGGCGCTTGTCCCGGGACCTGTCCAGGAGGCTGGTGCCGCGGGAAGCAATAAAACTGTTGGAGGAAGCAAGCTCGCGCTGTGGGCTCTGCCCCTTGTCGGGAGGGGGGAAAAAGTGGGGAAAGCGGCAGCGTGGGGACACCCTGTGCTCCTTCCTCCTGTCCCAAAGTTAAAGCCGTTTCGTAAAGGCTGGTTTAGTGGCGCGCTTGGGTGCACTGCAGGGGAGGTAAAATACTAAACAGTTGCAGCCTGCGTGGAGGACTGGACAGCACGTGGGAAGCGAGAGGAGGAGGAGGACGTGGTGGGGAGCAGGACAGCGACCGAGGGGGTTTATCTGGC